AAAGAAGCGTTTTTTTTTATGTTTTTTTGAAATTTAGTTTCTGTTGTTTCTTTGTGAATTTTTATCGGAATTAGTTTATTTAACATTTTTTTAAAAATTCAAGTCATAAAAATACGTTGGATTAAAACCCGTTAAATACGTTAAGAACGAACCAAATTACAAGTTTCCAAAGATAGGTATTTCAGGCGGCAACCTGGCAAATTTTGCAACTTTGGGGAGGGGGGGTGTGTAACTTGACGGGGAATTCACTTTCCTGCATTTTCTTTGCGGCTTTCTTTATGCTAGCCCAGACTCTACTAATCAGCAAAAAATGAAAAAAATCTGAGAGGGTGATTACGAAGGTGTGCGATTTGGCATGGAATGGCCCGTATACATATGATTGGTCTTGCTTTTTCGCATTTTTTCAATATCGCTATGTCCATTTTAATTTTTCACCTGTTTCAACTTCTCTGTGACACTTTCCCGTGTCATTTTCATTTCAAGTCAATTCTTTCAAACACTTAGGGGCTTTTGACCTTCTGAACTTCTCTACTGCCATCTTAATGAAAATACATTGCATACGAGTCCGCCGAATAAGAAGAGTGTCATCTTTTGCGTGTTCTGTGGAAACACGACAAATTAACGAAGTGGTGGTAAAACATTCAGGAATATTGGAAGAAGATCACTGTTTCTTGCATATGGCGTAAACTTCCAAAACTGAAATTGTTCTTTATTTTTCTTTTATCGTTTTCCTTTTTGTGGGGATTACCAGCGTCAAATCTACTCATGTTCGCTGAACTGGTACAAACACTAAAACTGATACAGATAGACTTCATGAATTTACATTATATATATTCGCTTGGTTCTTTTAGTGTATATGCGACCCACTCACTGAGGAAAGGTTTATCCCCAATATTATACCAGTATAACACTATTCTCTTTTGCATAAATGAAAGTTAAATTCATGATGTCAACAGCTTTTACTGTGATCTACCGTTTTTTTACCTACTTTTCGGTTCTGTTTTTATGCTTTATTTGGAAACTGCTCCATCCCACCTCCTCCTTGCTATTGGTACTTGCGCATTTGCTGGTGCAAAGCATGGACATTCGCCAGGAGCGAATATGCTAGAAGTTGTCGCAGGTGCTGCTAAGATTTTCGGCGCACAGATTAGAGTCATCAAGTTTCCAGCTTTACTACCCACGTAGATTCTGCTTTCTGGATACTTCGACATTCTTTGGCGCGGACAAACCTACATGACTAGACAGCAGTTGGGCTAAGGGAGGGCAAAAGTAACGTATGGGAATGGTGGGAAAAAGTGGAGGAATGGTGCTTTTGTCAGCGTGATCAATTTCTTCTAACGTATTTGAGTCCCCACTTCCTTATTTTACCAAAAGTAAGCTTTTTTTGGAGAGACAAGAAATTATTTGTCACTTTACAGCTACTTTATATTTATGGGATCTGATGCTGCACGTGAAAGATATGTTATCCGTATCATTTGCTGTCAATTACGAGACCAGTAAAACTGACGCCAAAAGACCTGTAGAAAGGAGCGTAGTAACCACACTTAAACTGATTTCTGGTATTTCATTATTAGTGGGGTACTGCTGTGCAAATTTCATCTACTAATCAAAGATTATTTGATTATTTCTCCTGGTCGAATACCTTTCGTACTATTCTCCTTGTGCCTAATATGGTAAATACACAAGTGTTACTTAAGGTCTTTAGAAAAAGTAAAAAACGAAAGATGGTTTATTTTTTTTACAATTTATTTTTTCACTTATTTAAAATTGCAACAAACAGAGGCCAATCTTTAAATTCAAAAATTAACAGAAGCATCCATATTTTTATTAGCAGCAGCGCGCAAACTTGATTCTTCTTTTCACGAAGGCAATAACAGAATGACTGAAAATTTTGAACAATTCCCGCAATTACCTTTCAACAGCTTCAAGCGAAACATTTGAATAATGTTCAAAATCAAACCCTTTAGACATCAAAATTTTGCTGGCTTAGAGTTCCAAATCAATAGCTCAAACATCTATTAGTAAGCAGAAAATAAAATTAACCTGAGTTGCTTTTAGTGTCCTCAAGACACAAATCACGTGGCCACAGTTCGATGCCTTAGCACTACCGCTTCTATCCTTCACTTAAACTGATGAGACCCTCTGTGAAGAACAGTGACTTTTAAAAAACTGCAGCAAATCTTTGTCTATCAAACTTCAACCAATTCCCGCAAGCTACTGTATTTACTTTCAAGATCAATAAGCTCTTTTTTGATTGATGCAAGCTCACAAATCAAAGAAAGTGAACTGGTGATGTTTTTTCGCGCCAGTCGTGCATGCTGCGGTTCAAAAACGCCAAATGGTCGGAAATGAGGCTTTGAATTTGAAGTGGCTGGTTCGTTACCATCGAGTTCAAAAACGCCATCTTGAATCGTTACGCTGAAAAGTTACGTGGAGAAACAGGAGAACTGTCACATATTTTACTCAAGAATTTAAAACTGCTTCTAATTAGCCGTCTTCATCTGAAAATTAAAACTAACCGAACAGTAGGTTCCATATCGCGACTGTCAAGAAATGCTGCGGCTGTTGTAGAGAACCCTAATATAGACCTAAATAAGTCAAGATTACAGTTTCAACGAGGTGGTTGGGATTTATCATAGAAATCTTTTCATTTGTCATATACTTAGCCCAAGTAAAATACGTTGGGAATTCTAGATTTCAGTAAGCCCCTTACTTTGTTTTTGAAAGGTTATAACGATAACTGTCCAGTACCGATTCCAACTGCTTACTTACTTGTAGGAAGTCAGAAAACAACTTCAGTTGCATAATTGCTAACTTATTCAGTTCTCTCGTCGTCTCATCCATTTATCGAAAACTAAAACAGAAAGTTGTTATAGAGAACACACTTACCCACTAAAACTTGGACTGAGATTGTATATTCCTGACAGTAATGTACACATATTGAAGCACTGAATCAGAAATAATTAAAACATTATGATTCTTCAGTTCCATCTGTTGTTTCACACGCCAAAATTTTTAACGCTTTATTTTGTTCCAGCACCTTAACACAGTCTACGCCTCCAAGGTATCAGAACAAATGGAAAATAAAAGCATAATTGGTTATGAATAACAAAAACATACAGTGACACTATTGTGGGCAAGCAGAGAGCTGTACAATACATGACTTTTGAAAACACTGACCTATACGGCCTTACTCTATATGGTTCAGTAAACAAAACAAAGAAATTAATCAAAGTGCGCAGCTCTTAACCCCTAACTGAATCACCTAAAAATGATGGAGCCAGGGACTTAGCTGCATTTAGGAACAATAATGATCAAACGTAAACGGTATGCTCGATAACAAACAAAATAATAGACTTTTAAAAACTAATTTCCTCTACTGTATTTCTCTGAAGTTAACATCAATTATAAACATCCTATAATAGAACCTTAGCACCAAACAGAGATTTCAATTAGTACATTTAAAACGTCTGACTGGAGAGGTATCATCTATAGTACGAAATAAATTCTAAAAAAAGTTTTGGTGATACAAAAAAAAAAGGCTTCTAAAAATACTACTGGTTCCAAATACAAGGAGATTCAAAAAAAATAACTGCTTCAAAACTAGTCCCAAAATTTTTACTTATTGGGACACTAAAACCGATAACTTTAGATGGGAGCACACAATTAAGAAAGACAAGAAACAGAAAGTTGAACTTCAAGGAAAAAAATAATTCATTTCAATTAAACAAGTCAATAAATTAGCGGTCCATCACATTACTTTTACGCCATTTTTGATAAAGAGTATAAGGATTCTTAAGTGCAGCAAAAACCCCGTTTGAATTTGTAAGTGGAGCTTTCAAACCATAGTCCAGGACTGATCCAGATAAATCAATTAACGCACCTCCAAGAGAACGAAGCATAGCGTCTCCAGCACAAACGTCCCATTTTTTGATCACACTTGTGTGCACATAAACATCTAAAAATATTTTATTAAAAAAGTTTATAGAAACTACCTAGCTGCCCCCTCCTTGAAAATAAAACTGAAACGCTGCATTAATGGAACTACCTGCAGATCCATTAATTAGCCGCAGGCTTTTGTACCCAGCACCTCCAGCTGGTTCTATGGTAAACTCATTACCAAATGCATTTGCAACAGCCTCCTTAACCTTACCAGCATGTGACCTTAAATACTTATCCTTTTAACCCAAACAAGGAAAAAGGGAAAAACAACCAATAAATAAAAGGAAAAAAAGTCCCAAATATTAACCTTACCAATGCAGTCAAAAACAAAAAATGAAAAGAAAAAGCCAATGATGACCTTGAAATCAACAACTTTTTTGATTTGGAATCGGAATCTTTAATATTCCATTTGACACCATCCGCTCCCATTACTCCATAATTCTCCATACCAAACCCTAACAATATTTTTAAATTCAGTAGAGAAGTTATAAAGTATGTCATAAGGCTCCTATCATACAAGAAGTAGTGCATATTTACAGATGTGAATTATGAATGAATATCCAATATGCCAGTTGAACCAACATTAAAACAGTTTTTACATGTTTCTTCGGAGAATGGACGACGAATAACTCCAAAGAGTGGTTGACCTTTATTAGCAATACAGACCATTACAGTGACGTACTGCATAAGACCCTCTGCAACCAAGAAAGTGAAACATCTTCAAAAACCTTAACGAAAAAAAAAAACATTTGATAAGAATGCGATTCAAACCTGAAAACTCTTGTGTTGCATCAAGTGGATCCACCCAAACAGTTATGTCAGATAAACTAACTTTTGTAGAGGGTAATTTCTGTACAGTATGGCTAATATTCATCCCCAAACCATTATCATCATAGCGATACTTTTCAATTTCTGATTCGGTAAACTTTGTGTCCTTCTCTTCGCTGATGACCTAAAAAGCTCATGCTACATTAGGTGAAATATTACAAACCAACCTCAAGTAGCAAAGCAAACGAACATTTAAGCCAGGATATCTTCCTAATACATCAAGAATTATCTGATTGGAAACCAAATCTGCCTTGGTAAGTACATCGTTTGCCCCTTCAGCAGTTTTACCTTTTGACATTATTGTTAATTTCCCTTCCCCATGCACATTTACTATTCCATAGCCTCCCATCGTTGCTGCCAAAATAGCATAACTAAAAGTTTTTCGATAAACAAAAGAGCAACAAAAGAAAAGTTAAAAAAAAAAACAGTGGAGGACTCCGGCAAAATACCCTGCAATGTCACGTAAATCCACTTCAATATCAGGGAACTTCTCATCAGCGGTCCAGATCAAGATTGCGATGTAACCAAAAACCAAAGTTACAGCCAAAATAGCCAAATTTTTGAAATTTATCTTGACCAACATTGCCTCTTCATTAATCACCATCCATCAATCTTTAGCCTACTGCAAAACAAAAGTTAATTTGAAGCAAAAAAGCCGATAATAAAAATCAGTACAATGCCTTCTTCACAATTTCCCGAACTTGCAAAAGTTTCTTCAGCAGTTTTGCCATTTACAACTTTCAAACAATTTTAGTCATAAGTGTCCAATAAGAAAAGCACTGTTAAAATGTTAATTCTCTGACCGCCCCAACGTCCCTCCTCTCTCATCCATCAGAAAGAAAAGTGATGAACAGTTACTTTAATTTACAAGTCTAACTTCTAAAAGTGAACGCGAGCAATTCAAAAATAACGTTAGTCCATCTCATTGTAAATTAAAAGTATTAATCAACTAGCAGTAATATCCATATGAAAAGCGCTTCAAATTAAGCACAGAAACGTTGTAACTACCTTACTGATTTGTAAGACAGCACTTTATAAGAAGACCTGAAATCATTCCTGTACATCATCACAATGTCACAAGTAGACGTAAATGAACATCTCCGTCTCATACGTCATCCAAAGCACTTAAGTCCACGAATGATTCTGCTCCCTTATAAAAAAGTTCCGCTTTAAACTCTGCCGAAAATAGGGTGCGGTGACAAATGTGGAGAATCGTGAAAACCGTTAATTTAGATTTATTAATCGAGTATGCAAAAAAGAAGATTAACAGCCTGCAAAACGACTAAATATATACAGCTCGGTTAACCACAGAATCCAGTAAATGTTCAACATCAAATAACTGCTGAAGACAATAGTAATTTTGTCAGTGGTGGCTTGCCTATTAAAAATCTTTTTTCAGGTTCTCTTGAACTTTTTTTACCAAATTTTTTTTTCAAAGCGGGTGTTTTATAGTGGCAAGTGATCAAAAAATTTTCTACTTTTTTTTCTCTTTGAAATTTTTATCACGCTTGTATTATGCGAACCCGGTATAT